TTCTCTATAGGACTTCGCGTGGGCAGTACGACAGCCTGTGTGGTTCAAATCAGACGCCGTTCTTTGCAAGATTTATTTTGAACGACGACGACGACGCGTACAGTACTTGCAAATCTCCACGACGCGCTGGATACTCCGAGCGTTGAGTTGGAGGTAAGGGAGCTGAGATCTCAGCTTGACGAGCGATCCCTGAGGTGAGCGATCTCGGCCGTTCAGCAAAATGGAGCTGATTCCGAGTAGCCGATTACTTTCTTGTGGCTTGCGCTGCTCTTGCTTGCACAGCGTAACAAGATAATCTATTTTGATTCGGCGCTGTATCAATCAGAATCGACCACCCGTCGCTCTCGAAATCCACTCGAACTGTAGCTAGACCTTTCAGGTACTAGTAAACTAACTTACTGACCAAAATTGGGATGAAATGGGCTGCCGATTGAGCTTTGGCGACATATAAACAAAGCTGAAAGATAAGCGACAATATCGCTGACGCGGACCAAGTAGAAAATCGTGGACTAACAGTTTGAAGTCATTCAACTACTTCCAAAAGTTGTATCGGCATCAACAGGATTACCATTTCACTGCAATAATGATGCAGGATGACCTTATCACGATAAGCCATGATTATAAACCATTATAAACACAGAATCAACAAAAACATCTGCGACACGCACCTGGCTACATTTCTCAAATAAATCTGATCGAGGGTGGGGAAATCTGAAATATCTGAAAGGCAAGCCAATTTTATGACAGAGTCATGAAATTCTGCAACGGCAAGTTGCAACATGCACAGAATGACCTCCGTATAAAAAAAGTATCACCACCACTAGTCCACGACTCACATGTTTCCCCGCCGAAGAATATGCATTGTGCTAGTGCCATTTTCTGCAAGAAAAGGCTTGCACATCATGCGTATAATACGGTATTGATGTGAAGGCCATCATTTACATATTGGTATAGGGCATTCCATTGATTGGTAACAGAAAAAAAACAAAAGAAATTATAGCAATAAAAACTGCTTTATGGCAGTTTTCTAAAAAAGGTTATTGTGTTCTAGTCCATGGACCCCGTCTAAAAAGTAAGAAATTAACGAAATGTGATAGCTGAAAATTAAAATTTCACACAAAACCCCTCACAATAATCACACACAGAATGAAAAGCTACATGCAGAAGACCTTTTCCCCTCGCGATCCTCTTTCCTATGCATGCATGTTGCCAATTGTTGGTGCAGTACAAGTTTAGTGTTGAAAGCAGCATTTCAAGTGTTGTGATTATTGTGAGGTTTTGTGTGAAATTTTAATTTTCGGCTATCACATTTCGTTAATTTCTTACTTTTTAGACGGGGTCCATGGACTAGAACACAATAACTTTTTTTAGAAAACTGCCATAAAGCAGTTTTTATTGCTATAATAATCATTGTGTTGCAGTGCAGTCCGTGTTCGGATGTGCATGCGCGAGGAACTTCCTCCTTTGGAACTGCTTCTTGTATGAGCTGTTTTGGATATTTCGTCTCCTGGCCTGGCTTATTTCGTTTCGGCGCTGCTGAGACCTCCTTTCGCAAAATATTACTCAATGACAGGTGAGTTGACCAGTTCCCTTTGATTCATTTGCTTGTGTTGACTCTTTCATTTACGAAAAGTGTGCTGATTTTGGGCGGAATGCAATAAATAATGGGAAAGCTGACCAGGGTCTCCTTTCTAAATTTAGCTTTTCCGCTGCCGAGGCCTCCTTTTACGGAATACTCGATGACAGGTGATCTCTGAGTTGACCGGTTTCCTTCGATTCATTTGCTTATGCTCACCCTTTCATTTACGGAAACGTGTGCTGATTTTATTCGGATTTAGATCCATTTTTATCTCTTTGCCCTTGTCTACAGTGTGCGAAGAACGCGAGTTCACCTTCTTGACGGTAAGGCTTATGTTAGATGTGTTATCGAAATACTCATGTATTCATTGTACATTGGTACGTTACAAGTAAGGCACTGGTCAGTGGCATACTATCGTTGGCATTTCCCAATCTGGAGGGAACGGTTCAAGGACCCATTGACCGAGTATGCAAAATAAATTCTCATATCAGGGAAAATCTCCATTGTGGAGAGGTTCAGTAAACTTGTTTGCTTCATACGAAACAAGCCAATGCAATGAATGGGTGCAGTCTCGTCTCGTGAAGATCTCGTACTTGTATGATTGGATTTGTTTACTCGAGTCTGGGCTGTTTGATTTATTATTTGTGAGTACCGCCGAGATTGCAATGCCCCAAATAAAGTTTCGTGCCGCCAAAGCAAGAATTACGATCTGCAAACTGCTTGTAGTACCTGCAAGAATCTGCTCTCCATGTATCGTACTTTCTCTGTTGCTGTTTCAGTTGCCGTCATGTTGCTAAAGAAACGATCAGTGACTCATTTGTTTCATACGAGACGAGTCAATGAGTTGGTGTGGCTTAGAATCTTTCGCTGTAGAAGAAATCTATTCGTATGTCTATTGGAGAAATAATTGTATTTACTGGTTATAAAATAGGTTAAGACATACTCGCAGAATAAATACCATCGGTCCCTTGGTGTTCGTCCTAAAGAGGTTCGACTGGATATCATTAATACTCACCAAAAGATGTGTAAGATTTTATTATTATGGAGTGCCTTGTTTATCTCTCAGTACCTCCCCTTTTATCCTCAGGATCAGTGTAGTTGTTGGAACGAGGTGTCGGACTCAGCAATGTATTTGTTTACATTTTAATACATGTTTATTGTTCCTCCTTTGCTGTGTTGTTTTAGAAAATCGTGGACTAACAGTTTGAAGTCATTGAACTACTTCCAAAAGTTGTATCGACATCAACAGGATTACCATTTCACTGCAATATGATGCAGGATGACCTTATCACGATAACCCATGATTATAAACCATTATAAGCACAGAATCAACAAAAACATCTGCGACACGCACCTGGTTACATTTCTCAAATATATCTGATCGAGGGTGGGGAAATCTGAAATATCTGAAAGGCAAGACAATTTTATGACAGAGTCATGAAATTCTGCTACAGCAACATGGTCAGAATGACGTCCGTATAAAAATAATTTAAAAAAAGTATCACCACGGTCCACCACTACACACATGTTTCCCCGCAGAAGAACATGCTAGTGCCATTTTCTGCAAGAAAAGGCTTGCACATCAATGTGTATAATACGGTATTGATATGATGTGAAGGCCATCATTTACATGTACATTATTGATATAGGGCATTCCATTGATTGGTGACAGAAAAAACAAAAGAAATTATAGCAATAAAAACTGCTTTATGGCAGTTTTCTAAAAAAAGTTATTGTGTTCTAGTCCATGGACCCCGTCTAAAAAGTAAGAAATTAACGAAATGTGATAGCCGAAAATTAAAATTTCACACAAAACCTCACAAAAATCACAAGCATAATGAAAAGCTACATGTACCGTAGAAGACCTTTTCTCCTCGTGATCCTCTTTCCTATGCATGCATGTTGCCAATTGTTGGTGCAGTACAAGTTTAGTGTCGAAAGCAGCATTTCAAGTGTTGTGATTATTGTGAGGTTTTGTGTAAAATTTTAATTTTCGGCTATCACATTTCGTTAATTTCTTACTTTTTAGGCGGGGTCCATGGACTAGAACACAATAACTTTTTTTAGAAAACTGCCATAAAGCAGTTTTTATTGCTATAATGCGAGATGGGAAGGTCTCACGGTACTTTACGGTGATAGGAGAGGTTTCGGGGTACGGTTTTTCATCCGAAAATCCGTATGAGCACTACGGTTGATAGAGCAGGTTGGGTGGAGAGGCGGGTTGGGGGGGGGGGGGGTGAGCGGATGGGGGTTGACACTGGATAACAATTACAAGTACATGTACACACGAGTCGAGTCAAAAAGCACCACGCGTCTGGTTTGTTGTACCTGATAGTTTCATGCCAGATGGCAATCTTCAGACAACTGACCTCAGTTGACCTCAGTTGACCTCAGTTGACCTCAGTTGCCATCTGGCATGACACTATTAGTAACAACAAGAGTACATGGGGTTATGTACTCTTGGTAACAATAAACCAGACGAGTGGTACCAAGAGTATAACTCCCCAAATCCTCTTGGTAGTACTCTATGAGTCGTGTGTTACTGCTCTGCTTCTGCATTGAGCACTCTATCGAACCGGAGGACTCCGCAAGTACATGTACATGTCGTCGAATATGATACCAAAGGGGGTGGGGGGATCTGGCATAATAATTATAGGTTAGTGCATGGTAGAGAGGGCCTTATGGCTTGTTAGTGCCCGACAGGTTAGCCTGAGGGCTACCCTGAAGGGCACAAACAAGCCATAAGATCCTCCCTGCCATGCACTAACTATTTTTTTTGAACGAGGTTACATGCACAATCTCACTTCGAATATGCTTGTGTACCATTATATTGGGTAGTTTTGTGGTTTGTGTGCAGAGTCACTTGGTGTGGTATGAAAGAATATTTTCTTCTGCTAAGTTATGGTAACTCAGCACCACTTTGGACTACTAAAAGTAGAATAGGAGCAAATGAAATGCTGGGCTCTTATTGCGAGCTTCATTCTTATTCATAGCTTGTGGAGCTATTTAGCGGCTTTGAGAGCCCCTTATCGATACCTCTAATGACTTTGATCTTCGGTTTTTATAGGGTTCCGCAAGCTGTTGACAAAGGAAATTCGCACAGATGAAAGAATACGGGAGGCAAAAACCATACACACTTCTGAAATGCGTAGCTTTTAGTATTACACCGTACATTTTATGCAGAGTTCATTATCTGCACCGTACTATAATGCACACAGGGAGTTGTACGCACGCACCCCTCGATGCGTCATCAAGAGTAGTAACGATTGAGCGCGGGCTAAGGCCCTTGGCGGGAATGTCGCTGATTGGTCGTTTCCTGGACAACGAGACAGACCTCGTTCTAATGAAAATTAATGCCGTGATCGAATGCGTCCTCAGGCAGGGATAAAAGAGCAGAAGAACGGCATCAGGCTCACAGCAGTCCAGGTGTATCCAGTCCTTAGTACACTGTACATTGCTACCGTCGGTCTCTTTTCAACGTGTTGGAAGAAGGAGTCATCCGGCTGAAGTTTTCTTGCATCTTTGAGGTATACTTCACGCAAGGCAGCCTTTCTACCTTGCAATCATGCAGAATCGAGGTAAGTTACACTGATGGGGCTCTTTTACTTTCTCTCTCTCTCTCTCTATCTCTCTATCTGTCTGTCAGTCTCTCTCTCTGTCTCTCTCTGTCTCCCTATGTCTCTCTCTGTCTGTCTCTGTCTGTCTCTCTCTCTGTCTCCCTCTGTCTCTCTTTGTCTCCCTCTGTCTCGTCTCTATCTCTATCTGTCTCTATTTATCTTTCTTTTTTCTTTCCTTCTTTCTTTCTTCCTCTCTCTCTTTTTGTCTGTCTGTCTGTCTGTCTGTCTGTCTGTCTGCCTGTCTGTCTGTCTGTCTGTCTGTCTGTCTGTCTGTCTGTCTGTCTGTCTGTCTGTCTGTCTCTCCCTCTCTCTCTCTCTCTCTCTCTCTCTCTCTCTCTCTCTCTCTTACACACACACACTCACGCACACACTCTCTCTCTCTCTCTCACACACACACACACACACACACACACACACACACACACACACACACACACACACACACACACACACACACACACACACACACACACACACACACACACACACACACACACACACACACACACACACACACATACACACACACACACACACACACACACACACACACACACACACACACACACACACACTCACACACTCTCTCTCTCTTATTCTCCATCTGCGCAAAAACCTAGACTGAAAACTGGAAAATCTCTTCTTCATCTAATCGTATGTGTCTCTAAAATTTGTTTTACTGAAGGTGCACGAAGCGCTATGCGAGGGCTTAGCTACATGGTACAGCTGACAATACTGCTGGGAATCTTGCAATCAAGCAGTACCAAGGCCGAACGCGAAACTCAAACGTCGCCACCTAGAGCATGTACAACATATCCACTTCCCGGGGACGATGGCCGCCCATGGTACATCTACACCTGCACAAATCTTGGGCTTACTTCAATTCCCGAGATGTCAGACGAATTCAGAGGGAGGATAGACATCTTGTAAGTATTATGTAGCTCTTTAGTTAGCAATATTCTGCTGAACGACATTGTCCATTATCTTGAAAAATAAGAAAGTGTAGAGTTTTCGTGAATCTTGTCTAGGTGCCGGTAGGTCGATTTCGACCTATGCTGACAGTGCATACTAAAATCGAGCACAGAGCCGGTCACGTACATCGCAGGTGCCTGATATTTTGTACAGAGACCCTTCAGTAGCTGGCCTGTAGTAGGCTGTAGATAGCAATAGAGAAAGTAGGGGGGTTGCATTTGAAAAAGTCGAGCCGTGATATCAACGTTATCGCGCAGATCAGCGGAAGTCAATCGAGCGTGGCAACCTACCTAAAGTACGGACGCGTCGCGCAACACGATCAAAACGTTGCTGTTTCGCTTCGTTAACTAGTACAGTTCATGACTACTACAGAAGGCTGAGTCGACCTCCGTCATGGATGCTGCGGGAGCGCTTGAGTTGTTTGAAGAGCTGGAGGCTGATGATGCCCCTGTAAAAGAAGAATCAGAAGACGACGATGGTGAATAATCTGGCGCTCTTTTGTCTGACGGAACCTGCTGTCATCAGATAAGGGGCACCGACTCTGTCACTCAATGATGATTTGGTTTTATGTGGAATTCTTGAGAACGGCAGCTCTTCAGATTAGGACCAATTTTGCGACGATGAGCTTCAAGAAGCTGTAGGGCGAGGGCGAGCGCAGCCAGTTCGTGGACGTGCTCCGCTCTCGCTGCGCGGAGGAATTGCTCGCGGCGCTGGTCGAGCTCAGCCAGCTGATGGAACAGCTGATCGTGGCGTGCGTGGCGCGCGTGGCGGAGGCCGTGGACGAGGTAGTGGATTCGGCGTGCTGAGTGGTGTTGGCGACCAAGATGTTCTTGGACCAGCCTGACCCTAATTGTAGATTTTTCTGACTTGAAAATTCAAAAGTCAGATTTTGCTGTGTCTTGCCATTCAGAATACATACTTTTGTCTCTACATCATCTAAACGGTTGCGGAGATATAGGCTTTCCAAAAAATTGAGCCAAAACTACGAAAAATCTAAAATCCAGTCAGGCACCAAAGGGTTAGCCAAACTGACTGAGCGACCATGGGTGGATCTAGCGGAACCCCACTTACAACACCAGTTTGTGACGAGGATAAAAAAGAAGGGTACCCGCTCTTTTCGCTCCACATTATACTGGCATACAGAGAGACACAGGCAGCAATAGCGGCAACACACAAAGTGAAGGGTAGTTGGATGCAGCCAGATGTGACTGGGACACTGGCGCGTTACTTGTCTCCTGCTCACACTCGAAGTGCAGCCGTTTCGTTAGCTTGCCACGTATGGACAATTGAGCAAACTGTTATTTGTATTTGTTTTGTATAATCCTATTTGAAATCGTAAATCTAAACGAGCACAACGGCTCAATGACAAAGCTACAATGCAGCGAATATGTTATTGTGTTACACGGAAGGAAGGTTGGTGAGAAAGCGATGATAAAGAATACAGAATGGGAGATATATCCATGAAGACCGAAGTGTTATAAAAAAAAGCAACAGATTCCTAGCTGCATCTCATGTTTGGCATTAAGTGGTCTTTGTAAAAAATAAAAAAATAAAAAAGATTCAACTCTTCCGTCGCTTCCCGATTTGTAGTACGGTAGTAAGGTTGCGTTCTCGCCCCTGTTGCTCACATTGGACATTAAGAGAGCATGTCTGAGAAAACCAGAACATTTGTGCAAGTCGATCTCTCAGATTTCGCTCAAATTTTGCATGTAGGTTTGCTTTGGGGTGTAGATCGACATTCCAAAGCCCGCACAACATCTTTTGAAGGGAACCATGAAATTGGCATACCCCTCAATATTGGCCCAATATTGGCACAATTTATAGGTCTACAAACGAGCCACGGCATAGCGTACAAGAACGAGCTACGAACAAAAATCCATCAAGCCAAAATGACCTCACCTTAGAAAAGTTCTTGGAACAGCACCGCTTAGCCACGCCAGCATCCCAAAAGACGAGGGCAATAATCCCTTGACGCCACAAATGATCGTCTTGAAAATAGCCAAATTACGAGCGCTGATAAAACAGCGAGCTACGTCCTCAATTAGCAAACACTATACACCGGCAGATAGTAGAACACCTCTTCTAGCACTGAGGACATGGTGAGGTGAGGTTATGTTGGCTTGATGGAGTTTTGTTCGTAGCTCGTAACCACAAATTCGCTGAGCTATCACCAAGATTATGTATAACTTTGAAACACACTTTAGTACCTAATGAGCATTAGTCACACAATGGTACTGATTTCCATAGCCCGTTATAGAAAGAAACTTAAATGCAAAGTACACTTTGTTGCTGCTCATGGACATAATTGTTTTTGTCAGAGTTCCACCGTCCATGTGAACACCAGGCGTGTCTGAAGGTAATCGTATTTTGATGCAGTCAATTTTCACTTGCTTGATTTCATGTTCAATTTTCTATGTGTGCATCCAGGAGCTTGGGCATAAACAATCTAACCCTCAGCGAACCAGATCCATTCAGAGGCATGTCCATTGTATACTTTTTGTAAGTGGCTATAATAATATAATATTTATTTCGAACCCAATTGCAACGACAATATTTCGAATGTTTGCCCACTAGGATACTTTCGAGCTGTTTCGGAGTTTGAAAACCAGACAATGCAAGGGAACAGAGACAATTGATTAGGTACAGCAGAGATATGATGGAGACAGCTCAAGGAACAACGATTGATGCTTGTCCCATACACAGTAATACCTGATAACACGTTCCTGCGGTGTATTAGTATGTCAATTGGTTGAAGCAGTAAGGCCAATCCTACAGTCCATTTCAAAACTATAGACGCGTACCTAGGCAAAAACCGTTATGCCAGCATCTATACCACATAAAATCTTAAATCTGTGATCACTTTGTGCATAATTTTCCCAAATTGGGAGTCTGTTATCCAATCGTTTAGAAACTATATGAGAGTAATTGTGGACCGACCTGAGTAATATTCCGAAAACTATTCTCAAAAAGTTCCAGCCAAATTTGAAATATTTCAAAAACACTGCGCGTCTATAGTTTTGAAATGGACTGTATGTTCCACCTAGTCCATCAGCTGCCTGCAGCTCACAGGAAAACCCAGACCTTGTACCGTTTCGCAAGTGGGTGCGGGAAAACAGGGAGTAGTGCAACGTTTGTAAGTGATATGACTGATTGGTGTGAGCGATGAATGCAGAAGAGTTACCTTATTCCAGTGTTATCAACAGTAGTTGCAAAACAACGGTCTCATGACAATGATACTGCGTTTTGTTCTTGTCCAGGTATTTGTCATACAACAACATTCGCATTTTGAAGACGGGCATCTTCGATGATTGTGTCAAATTACACTTCCTGTAAGCTTTATTATAATACTTTAGATCAAGGTCTGTGTCGTTGTTTAGGAGACCATCAATCGAACTGCAACTCCATATTTTTCATTTCTTCAAGAACTACAGCCAGCGATGCCGGCCCGTAGCTCGTGTATAGAAAGCGTAGTTTGGTCAACACACCCGCTAAAAGCCATCATAGGTACTTCATGGTCAAAATGAACCAAATGGCGGTAATGAGGTTGCCGGTGGCCCATGGTCACCACACCACAGATGTGGTAATCGTCATATCCTGTCGGATATGTGGGCAACAAAGATGAGAGAGACATGAGAGCAAAAAAATGGCCAATAACGCAAGAACTATGAGGGTTTTTAATGTTCCTTTTAAAACGTTTTCGTGATCTAATTTGTAGTTGCCCATACACGGCCTCCATGAAGCAGATCAATGGGTGTGTCATGTTGTTTTGCCAGGGGAAGCCATAACGCGAAGGTCTAGGTGGAAGTAAAACATTGTTCAGATGATTGCTAGATAGGCCAACATGGGTGTACAGACGCGTACGTTTTCCCCACAACGGTAGCTGCTAAGCATTCCCCATAGACTTACTACTTTAGCAGTTAGATTTGAGAGAGCATGTCTGAGAATACCAAAGTAACGTTATGTGTGCAAGTGGATCGCTCCGATTTCGCTCAAAATTTGCAGGAAGGTTCCCTTTGGGGTGTGGATCGATTGTGCAAAGCCCTTGAAAAGGTTTCTGAAGGGAACCTTGAAATTCGGATTCCCCTCAGAAATGGCCGAAATATCACATTATTTATGGGTCTAGAAACGAGTCACGCCACAGCGTATACGAACAAGCTATGAACAAAACTCCGTCAAGCCAACATTGCCTCACCTTAGAAGATTTCCTGGAGCATTACCACTTTGCCACGCCAGGATCCCAGAAGACGAGGTCCATCACCCCCTGACGCCACAAAATTTAATGATCGTATTGAAAATAGCCAATTTACAAGCGCTGGCAAAACAGCCAGCTACGTCCTCAATTGGCCAGAACTATACACTGGCAGATAGTAGAACACCTCTTCTAGCGCTGAGGACATGTCCCCCATCTTCCTTTTGAGGTTTTCTTGAAATAAACCTTTTTTGAATTTTTCCACTCGACCATGCTGAAATACGGGCAAAGTCATACCTGCGCAGGAAAGCTCGCCCCTCCGCGACGTCTCCTCAGCAATTTCTACTCCAGCACTACTCCCAAGGCCGCAGAACAAAGTGTATTGTTGGCTCTGACAAGGAAAAGCAGCGGTGATCACTTTTCACTCCAAACGACAAGCTTCTCCTTGCGCCACCAATAATTTTTTGTGCGACTGTTGATGCAAAAGTGACTGAAGGCATGAGCGCAATTCTTGAATTTTACTACAAGAGGCACGGCGAAATCACGTGCCTTGTGACGCAAGAATGCCAAGTCGCGTGGATCACGCACGGCTCACGAGATTTCAGAGTCACCTTCGTCAAGTAAGTTAAGTGCGCTTGTTACCTCGCCTTGAACGCCTGTTGGTCTGGAAGTGATCACACTTGAGTGTTGTTACTGCGTTCAAGAACACACTGACCGTGCTGTAGGCCTACGAACCGGGACTTTCCCTGACCATGTAGGTCGAAGACCAGTGAAATGATGATGAAATCACATTCTTTATGACGTCAGAAATCTCTCATGCAGGCATGCAGGCACGCGACAAGTTCGTGCAGCTAGCCAGTGCTGCATGCTCGCGTGCCAGTCAACACAAAGTGTAAAGCGACCGAGCTAGCAGCTTTTGCCGAGCATCGACATGAAAACAAGGGACTTTTAGTTTACCATGGTTTACCGTTGGACTAGGTTCGGCAGGAGTGTGAAAGATGAATGACTCTCCATGCTGTACCGGGGGCATATTTCAACGGTTTGCTGCCATTGCAACACTCCTAGGACAGTTTGTGAGGGTTCTCATTAGATCAAGCAGGAAATACAGCTCATCTTACCTTTGCCGCTTCCGAGTAGCGTTCCAGTCACGTTCGCGATCGATGGCCGCGTGTCGTGATCCAGGAATCGTCATCCTACGTCACAGAGCACGCGATCTCACCGTGCATCTTGCAATAAAATTCAAAAACTGCGCTCAGGACTTCAGTCACTTTTGCATCAACAGTCGCCCAAAAAATTATTGGTGGCGCAGGGAGAAGCTTGTCGTTTGGAGTGACAAGTGATCACCGCTGCTTTTCCTTGTCAGAGCCAACAAATCACTTTGTTCTGCGGCCTTGGGAGTAGTATTGGAGTAGAAATTGCTGAGGAGACGTCGCGGAGGGGCGAGCTTTCCTGCGCAGGTATGACTTTGCCCGTATTTCAGCATGGTCGAGTGGAAAAATTCAAAAAAGTTTATTTCAAGAAAACCCCAAAAGGAAGATGGGGGACATGTCCCCAGCGCTAGAAGAGGTGTTCTACTATCTGCCGGTGTATAGTTCTGGCCAATTGAGGACGTAGCTGGCTGTTTTGCCAGCTCTTGTAAATTGGCTATTTTCAAGACGATCATTTGTGGCGTCAGGGGGTGATGAACCTCGTCTTCTGCGATCCTGGCGTGGCTAAGCGGTACTGCTCCAGGAACTCTTCTAAGGTGAGGCAATGTTGGCTTGATGGAGTTTTGTTCATAGCTTGTTCGTATACGCTGTGGCGTGACTCGTTTCTAGACAAAAAAAGAATGTGATATTTCGGCCATTTCGGAGGGGTATCCAAATTTCAAGGTTCCCTTCAGAAACTTTTTCAAGGTCTTTGCACAATCGATCCACACCCCAAAGGGAACCTACCTGCAAATTTTGAGCGAAATCGGAGAGATTCACTTGCACACATACTTTGGTATTCTCAGACATGCTCTCTTTAAAAACATCTCTTTAATTCTTGCTTTCTTCCACTGATCCGTTACATATCTTGACTTTTCATTAATATTAGTTTTCTCACCCCTCTCATGGCTGTTAGCTGCACTTGGATCGCGGCAACTTAGTTTTCTGCACGTGAACCATGAAAAATCAATGCATGCTCATGCATGTTCATGCATAACCAGTCAGCTGGCCGGCTCGCCCACGCATTTGACAGGTAACAATTCGAGAATTTGAGATATCGCTTCGTTCTAAGTCACAAAACAGTTCTAAAGTCACCAAACCACGCTGGTAATCGATGGCTATTCAATGTTAACATCTTCAGGAAGACTTCAGCCGTTTCCTGAGAGTTTGGGCATCGTTGCCATTATTTTTCACGGTGTTCTTCTTCCTCCTGTCTGGAGCTGTAATTGCATCCTGGAATTATTTGAAAGGTATTTTGTGCGGGCTGTGGGGGGTTACAACAGGCATAAACTGACATGGCTATAGGATAACTGGTAACTTTCATCCTTCAAGGAGGTAGAGCAATGAGAATTTTTTTGTGGCAGTCGTCCAATTTTTGTGGCGGTCGTGGCTGTATTTGTGCACTTCCAAGGCTTTCATTCTGCCTGATACTACTCTCTACTGTATGGGAATCGTTGTTTAGGCACATGTAGCTGTCTTATTTGGTAGATCTGCTGTTTTCAATCACTTGGGACACTTTGTCTAGCCTATTTGTCTTTCGTTCGTGCCATCTATCAGTTTTGTGGGGTGCCTTGGCCTGTATTTGTGAAGTTCTCGAGTAAAGACCCTAATTCTTGACTGGAGGCACGACTTGATGTATTTGCTGGGTGAGCCCTCGTTCACGCAGTTGTCCTTATCGTAATAGTCAATATCTGCTTGCTGGACGGACTAGCGGCTAGAATAGGGATGACCAAATGGTCCAAGTGTGTACTAGTACACGATTATTGTTTCCATCATCGTGATGAGCGTTGTGGAATTGCAGTCGTCTGCCTTTGGCACTGAGGACATGAGGAGAGTTGATTGTTACTTCTGCTCAGCAATGAAGCGATCATCAGCTCTCTTTGTTCTAATTATTGACAGGACATACCGGCATCGCAATCAAGTAAAGATTAGGCAAACCTCGCCAACCTCCAAAGAGAGTCGAAGATATTTTCTCCAAATGCAAAGAGGATCTTTGTGAATTTGTGACTTGCATTTGCGTGCATACATGAGCAAGTCACGGACCACGGCACGTGCGTGGTTACCATGCCATCTCGAACCGACGCCATCTTTCTAAGTTGCCGCTTCTTGACAGCCGTGCTCTACTTTGTTATCGAGTTGTATTCAAACACTGTTGACTAGGCCTGGGCGAATAATGCTAGCATTATAAGCAGCAGTATAGCGTGCAATTTGTTACGAGCATTATGGTAGCATTATAACACTACATTTCCGCAAAAGTGGCATTATCCTCAAATGGCCCTTACTTCTGCGAAAACCAGGCTTAGGGTGAAAATTATTTTTTGAGAAAAATTATGTTTGAAAAAAGGTTGTGTCACGTGGACGCTCGAGTGCAGTGAAGTGGAACCAAAGAGAATCTCGCTTGTTTGAACAAGTAGCAGGCATGGCAGGAAGGGTTTCAGCAGTCAGGGAACTCAAAGGACTTCCGGTAGAATATTCTCTGCTACTCCTGTAGTCACAACGAAGAGTTTTGAGCTGATCCAACGGATTCCATCTCCTACACTCAGGCATGGCGAAATTTGCGCGCTAGCTGCTGCTTGCGGGAAATGGTGAAGAAATCGTCAGTTAGAGTCGTGATGGCGATAGCGAGGAGAACCTGGACGACATCGATTCAGCCAATCGAAGTACGGAAAACACTAGCTGTTTCTGGGCCTCACACAAAGGGAACACGCGCAGCAGAGCTCATACGTTCGCAGCAAGTTCACGAGGAAAGATGCTAGAAGCGCAGTGCGAAAACTGTTTTGAATTGAAGTCCTTGGCGATGAAGTGCTACTGAATGCCAGGCGAATGAGCGAGCAGATCAAGAGGCCTCCAGTCGAGACTTTCCTCGCTGGACAGCTAGCTGCAAGGGATTGTATGGAGCAATAGCAGCATAAAATTAGCATTATGATCATGATGTTCTAGCATTTTCCATACCGTCTACGTAGAACTACGATACGTGCACAATACTGCCCAAAAACCCTTTTTTCCGTACTTAATACTGGTGAATTGCTGGCATTACAGTGGAACAACAGCATTACAAGTAGCATTATGGTACAGTTTTTCTGGCATTGCCATTAGCATTATCCCGCAAAATAACTGGCATTAGAGAGGTTTAGCACAACGAAATTTGTTGTTCATTTTCGTTATGCCGCTGTACGAAAAAGCCGACCGAAATTCGCTGATTTTTGTTTAGCAGAACGTTCTCCATGAACTTCGGTGTCGCTAGTGGATACCGTGGATGTCGCGGAAATCCCGGCGAAATACAAAAATAGTAATCCTCGTCACTCCCCGACTTTCGTAAACTGGTGGCCTCACCACTCGAATGCTTCTTGAGCAGGAGATGAAACCGATCTACAAGCCCTTTCTTTTTCAGCCCAGCAAATCTCTCATCGCTCTGGGAAAGCTGCAGAGCTGCTTCTTCATTCGTGCGTGATTTCCGCAAGAAACGGCATCGACCTCACAAGGCGGAGCATCTTGAGATCCATCTGCGTATCCCATGTAAGTTGTCGTCCCTCCTGATTACCAGAGGTAACAGCAGCTGCAGAGACTGCAGGATTTGAGCTTGGCTCAGACTTTCTGGTCGTGAAAATAAGAACCTCAGAAAAAAATGTCGAAAGGAAAGGAAAAATTCTCATGTGATCGCGGTACGAAAAGTCGACAGACCAAACTTCGTTGGATTGATGTTTTCCGCTAGTGTGTGTCCCGAAGTTCGTGGCAAGTTTCGTGACTCGTTCCCGGTCTTCAAAATCTAACGAAAATTCAGACGAATTTCGTTGTGCTAAACCTCTCTATTATCCGCCCAGGCCTACTTTTGACTCGAGTGTTGAGGCATCCGATGGATAATGTAACTGTGCAATACCACCTGCTCCTTCCGTGGTCGTAATGTGGAGGTGGTGACCTGTATGTAGGTCATACGACACGAACCTTGTACGCATTATGACACGTTGTGTTGTCAACCCGTCCTGAATTATTTACCTTCGAGCGGACACGGGATCCACGCCAAAACCTGTGACCTTAGTACACAAAGGTTCTTACACAGTACATATTTCGTTGCACTCTGTCATACAATGTTCCTTTTCTTGGCTGTAAAATCGAGGAGGTGCGTGCTGACGATACAGTAAAACCGGGGGTAAGCGACCACCTGCTCGTAACGACCGCTTTTCATTGCACGAACAGTTTTACACAGACACTATGCGACCTGGTTCTAAAGACCATTTGACTTTAACAACCGCTTTTGCTTGCACCGTGGGGTGGTCGCTTAGACAAGGTTTTAATTTAATTTACTTCCTCTCACCCTAACGCTGATTGTTTTGGAAACTTGGCGCACTTCAAGTCATTATAACCCTGGAATGGGTGACCCGATTTGAATGATACGCCCGGGAGAATCGAAGGAGAACAAAAATGATGACTTCGTTCGTTTTGTCACGCGACAACTCCTCTGTTGTGTCCCCACAGAGACTTGCGAAAGAATGTGCTGGAGACTATCGAACCAGATGTCTTCGCCAAGAACACCCAGCTGGTCCGTTTGTAAGTAAAATGTTCATATACCTGTATATGTTTCAAAGAGCACTGTTTGAGAACGAAAAAGTGTTTGTTAGTACTCCTGTGATCCCCATTCGAAGTACATGTAGGTTCCCTAATGACCGTAGAAAACTTGCTGAATCACGTTTATGCAAGTTTCATTTCATGATTGCTTCATGGCACTATGTCTGCAACGATTATTCAATTTACCGCATTCTTAAAACTCCATTCTGTGAAACACCTGTTTGTTTCGCAGAGTGCACACTCTTCTAAAGACCGAACTGTGAATTGCCGAAAGAAATTGAAATGCTCCTGGTCACAGTCGTAGGAAAATTAACATGGCAACGCTTGCCCCTTGTGTGCAACTGCTGTCGCTTGTAGGGTATGCCCCTCGCTCATTTTTTTTACTTTTCGAACTGTGTATATACATGTATGAACTCGGATAGAGAGCCAAGGATTATTTATAAAAATTAGTAACTAGATACTGGGCGCCTAATTGACATTAGAGCGTAACTTGCAGTTTGTTGGTCCTTTTTAATTTTTATGTGAGCGTAGTAAAAGATATGGTCATGTTTCGAAGCCGAGGTCTTTGTTGAACTGGGTGCTTTGTTTGTTGAGTGTTTTTGATTTATTTAATTTTGTAGTTTGTTACCTTAACAGTACAATGTAAAACCTCAAGACGATCGAACAGAAATCAGCATAGCTGGTGGCCAGCAGAAAGGGGTGTGAGGGAGTGTAGTGTTGCTCTTGGAGAAGAGTCAGATACTGGAACTGTCCATATTTCTCCATTGTATGAATCGATTCATCGAAAATTTTACCTTTGCCAAGGGGCTTCAGACAATGCCCACAAGCTACTGGCCTTTGAATATATTTGATATGTTGCCCACTTATCGGTACTGGGCATCGCCAATGTGGCCTTGTTTGGGCATGTGGACCTCAGACAATGCGTCGGGTGTAGAAATAGTTCTACATCGTTTCTCTCCACATTCATGATCACTGTGCTGTTCACAGTGATAATCGTTCTAATAGGTGATACTCTGCCGGCAATATATTCAGAACCGCAGTGATCATGAATGTTACGAGGCGACTCGTAGAACTCCAATCGGAGTTCGCTGAGGCTCCTCCAATCAGGGTTTCTGTGTGCCTCAATCCCTGTCTGCTTCTCCTAGGTACTTGAAAGACAACTTGCTCGTTGAGCTGCCACGTAATGTGTTTGGCAGCGTGGCTATGAATGCGTAAGTGTGTTGCTGATGCTGTTGCATTTTAATACTTTTATAGTCGCAACACCCACAGTCGGTAGCGCCCTCTTTGGTACATGTACACGTGAGCGATTTCGCACAACAATGCGAAAATGGTAAGGGGGGGGGGGGGGAGAACAAAAAAAATCAACCTGGGCAAATGCAGAAATTGCGACACAAATTAACACAGGGCTAGCTTGCTGAATAGTTGGAATACACGCATGATTCATTCTGTTCATTGGCTGGCAGGTCAAGCGGCAGTCTATGGTAATGCCTAGCATTCTGGTTGAGTCAACAACGGTCAATGGCACAGGATTTATGGAGATTAGTGGAGGCGGGATTGGGGCTGGGGATGGGGAGAGGAACAAGACAACAGACTTGTCTACATTAACCGTTAGACCACGATCCGTTAGAGCAGCAGAGGGTGACGAGAGCGCCAAGTTAATTGAGTGTTTGTGCAGCAAAGTGAAGGGATTTGTGGGATGTGTACAGAATCAGTTCATCAACAAACATGAAGTTGATTCTGCTGTCATCGCCACACAACAGCAAAGTTACCGTATTTCCTCGATTAATGGACCATGCTCGAATAATAGACCATGCTCAAATAGTAGACCCTCCTAGAGGCCTCACGGAAAAATAGTAGACCATGCCCGAATAAGAGACCCGGTCTCTTATTTGAGTTCATCGCTTTGCGCATGCGCACTAAGAAAGCACGTGGTGGATCAAAAAAGGACCCGATTTTCAGTTGCGCAACTACAATTTTTGTAGTGGCTAGTGCTTTCTTTCATTATTTGAGCATGGTCCACTATATTTTCATCGGCACATCGCTGGAAATGGTGGATTTTTAACACGTCATAATATAGAAGTTCTATATTATGACGTGTTAAAAATCCACATCGCTGGAAATGGTGGATTTTTAACACGTCATATTATAGAAGTTCTATATTATTATTAAGCAGTTAATATATTATTATTATTATTATTATTTTGCTTGTTCGCGTTGGCATCAACCTGCATAAAGTAGGTATATAGCCTTCGCTTAAGCTGCCATAAAAAAGAAAGCTCATCCTAAGCGAGAGGGCTAGAGGGAAATATATAACGATAACGAGATACAGAATACAAAGAAATCCAATGAGTTCAACGTACAATTCAAAACAAGAAAGAAAGGAAAGAAAAACAGAGCCGAATCTACCGATTGATCCATCAATCGACAAAGGGGACTAATCCGTTAGTGTTGCAAAGTAGAAGCTGATTATAGTTGCAGATCTCCAGGCCAAGGCCAGCATATTGCCGATTCTGGATAGGTCTCCGCAGCATTTGATGTGGTAATTATCATAATGTTTGATAAAATTGTTAGAGTATCTAGTATCTAGAGTACCGAGTATCTAGTATCTAGAGTGTCTAGTGTTGCCTGATGATTGCGTAAGCATGAAACTTAAAGTAGCAGCAAACAAGCCTTGATTGTCCTTGTTGTTCTGTAGTGTAGAGTGTCTAGTGTAATTGTATCCGTTATTATTGTTAAGGATATCTAGTGTAACTGTATCCGCTATTATTGTTAAGGGTATCTAGTGTAATTGTATAACTTCAGCCATTACACACATATTATGACGTGTTAAAAATCCACCATTTCCAGCGATGGGCGATGGGCCGATGAAAATATAGTGGACCGTGCTCAAACAATGGACCATGCCCAAATAAGAGACCGGGGGTCCAACCCTCTTCAAAAAACAATAGACCGTCTATTATTCGAGGAAATACGGTAATTATGAAAGTTGTTTTTCATTTCACATGTGTCGAATGTCTTTGAAATTTGAAACCCGAAACTGGATTTAGGCTTACCTCAAATCGGCCCATTTTTGACTATTCGGCTTTTCGCTAACTCAGAAATACCTCAAAGTCGGCTGCAACATCAGCTGATTGTTCAAAAATCGGCTGCAAAATTGTAATATACCTTAGAATCCCGCGGATAAGCCCACCCGCATATAAGCCCATGCTCGCGCATAAGCCCAGGGTTAGTTTGAACATCACTGAGCTTCATTGTACAAGCCCATGGGCCTAGGTGATACCAAGAGTCCATAAATTATGGACTTTTGGTCATACCATGTACATGTACATACCGTATTATCTCTAATATAAGCACAGTCTCCAATAATAGCACGTCTCCAATAATAGAACACCTTGGGGCGGCATTCAAAAAATAAAGTGCTCAGTCTCCATTATAAGCACAATTAATTTCATTTGTAATTTCATTATCTGTACCGGTGAAAAAACCCTGAAATGTGTGTGTCTGACATGAATTTGGCATGGCAACAAGCCTCTGAAATGAGGTTGAAATAATAATGGAACAGTCTCCAATAAAGGAACGTCTCCAATAATAGCACAGGGCGGAGGTACATTGAAAAATAAAGGACCGTGCTTATAATAGAGATAATACGGTAGTACATGTACAATCATGGGTGCAGCGCCTGCTCATTAGTTGTCACGTTTGTCCTTATCTCCGTACCATTGTCTTTCCTTATTCTTTTCGAGCTGGTTATGTGAACATAGTGAGAAAAAAAACGTAGTTGTTTTTCTTCGTTTTTCGTACATTCCAACACAATTATCGGTTGGTTTTGTTGCACAGTGGTTTTCAGCAATGTACTTCTCACTTCCTTGATACTTTTCAATAGCACGTTGTCGGTGTCGGCGTATAAGCCCGTGCCCGCGTATAAGCCCATGTTCTCGTATAAGCCCACCGAAATGTCCTTGTGAAACAGATAAGCCCATGGGCTTATCCGCGGGATTCTACGATATTGGGAAATCGGCTAAAAGAATTGTGGGCATATTGGCTTCAAAATTGATACTGGGAGATTTGGCAGTATTTCGGCCCTTTGCAAAGAAACCCTCCAAAATCGGCGAAAAGCTTATCGACTTTCTGATGTCTCGTTTTCGGCGAATTTTCGGCCGGCCGATTTGGGGATTTTACTAGTAACGATTTTCCTTTTGGCTAATGTTTGTTTGAGAGGAGGTCAAAGGACACGGGTCACACGACCTCAACGCACTAATGACACCACAAGTATTGAAGTAGAGAGCTCGAGCGGTCATGCTTGCACCAACATCATTCTTTTGTAAACGCACTTTGCAACAACATTTTCTAGATGTTCGGCGCTTCTCAGAGGAAAAAATCGGCGAAAGGCTTAGTGATTATTTCGTCAGTCTCGTTTTCGGCGAATTTCTCAGCTGGCCGGTAGACTGGGTTCACGGGTGCACCGCGTATTGGCACTTGGGCCCGTGGAAGCTACGAAAATGTGTAGAGCACGAAGTTCGTGCGACAATTAGCCCACTGTTTCGCAAGGCCCGTCCCAAGAAAAATTAGTTTCGCAGCAAGTCTCTATTATATCACATATTTTCACTTTAGTTCATGTCAACCATGTCACGAAAAATTGCGTGTTTGCCTTCGCCAACTCGAAGATGTGCTTGAAAATTCTTTTGAAAGGAATTTCGACAGTAGAAGAAGGCGATGTTTTGGGGTGTTAGATCCCTTATTGTGCTCATTTGTTTCTTAGGAGCTCGTAAATCGTTCATCTGTACGTGTAAATGGACCGTAGCCAGCAATGACATGTCTTAGGGTGAAAATGTATTTCTTAAAAAGGTTTCTTTGCTCGTCCGCTGCTTGGCCTAGACCACGAAAATAGTTTGACAAGATGGTCACGCCACCAGTTGGGTCAATGAGGCACAGGATGAACGTGCTCGACAGAAGGAAATCTTCAACCATCATGTTTCCAAAAATTACCAAACCCCAAAGACATGTTTTTTTGCTGACTGCGGTCCAACATGTTCTTAAACAGTGAAACCTGTAACTAAAGACCACCGTGACTAGCGACCAGCCTGCTACTGCAGAACACTTCACCAGGCACCGACGGTCTCACATTATGGTTGTGAAGTACACACCTCTAACGAAGGACCACCTGCCACTAAAGACCGCTTTCTCCGGCCCCAATGGGTGGTCGTTAGTTACAGGTTTCACTGTACTTAGGAGGGGTGGATGTATGCATTTAGATTATGATGACTGCTTTCATGTCCTACCTGTGCAGTCAAATAGCCCTGGACAACAACCCACTGGCACCGGACTACCGCCTGTGTGGTGCACTTTACACCGACAGAGAGAAGAGCAAGAAAATTCAGTATTCCGGCTTGACGCCGGAGGCAATCAAGAACGTTGGAAACGGTGAGTGTTAAAGAAAATCGAGCACAAAAGTGGATTTTTAAAATTCAGCCCTGGTCCTGGGCATCTCTTGGACTCGAGATTGAATTCGTGGTGTTCCGCTCATCAGGGGCTTCGTAGAATGCCCAATACGATGACAATTATCCTGGGAACCCAAAGTCGCGTCAAATACAAGTTCACAGTGTTTTAAAGAGTTTTATTGGTTGGGGTAACGCTTTAAGAGTGGTAACGGATTACCGTCACGCCCTGGCTGCAGTTTACAGATTCACACCTTCCATTTCTATATTCACTAGCAATCTATACTTTCTGCGCTAATACTGTAATAGGCTCCCTCACCTAAGCAACCATCCACACGGCGGCCATCATGGCAATCTTTTCTCTGTTGAATCAGACACCAACCAGCGATCGGTAGGCTATGCTTTACATTAGTGGTGAAACGAATATACCGAATATTCTAATATTCGTTCGGTTTGGCACATTCGAACAAATATTTCTCATGGCGAATATTCGTTAACCCGGTATGCAGAGTTTACCGGGCGACTTCAAACTTTCGTAACTTCGCGAATACTTGACCGAATTGCTTCATCGAAAGGTCTATCGGCATTAGAAAACTTTCAGCTGTCATCTAGAAGCAACCCGAACGCAATCCGAGGTCCTGGAGTGGAGTTATGGCGCTTAAACGAAAAATCACGTCTCAAGATGTTTGATGTTTTTGAGCCTGTGAAATGCACTTCAGCTGGGATTTTGTGAAAATTGACCAAGAAATGATGGAGAAATATCTGCCTTCGTTTGTCATGCCTAATAATAGAGACAATGTCCAAAAATATGACTGAGAGGAGGGCATGTGATGTCATCCGTCTTACCGAAAGAATATTTGTTCGTTCGTTCGTTAAGCCAAAGAATATTCGGCTACTGGGTTTTGATATTCGTTTCACCACTACTTTACATTGACCAAGTCCAACTGAGCATGTGATAGTCCCCTGAGGATTGCATTGAGCAAGAAACTCTGAGTTGCGACAAATGTGTAAACCTCCATTGTGCCTTTTGTGCGTAATAGTGCTCCACATTATTATGTTGAGCCCTCTCCGCTGGCAGAAGGACGTTTTCCTCCTTATTTAGCATAGTATCAAGAGTACATAACCCCTTTATGTACTCTTGATATTATGCATGTCCTAATCATGTTCTCCCGGAACTGTTTTTTGGATCTGCATTGTAGTTACGGAGGTATGCAGTAAACCATGCTATTCGTTCCGGCCCGAGTATCTGAACGTCTGCCCCAACGCCTTCTGCAAAGGGACTGTGGGAAACCACCAATGCATTCCCATAGAGTCCGGTAAGCACTGTATCTTGCATTGTATTTTGTACATCAATTATTTTATTTACATGAAAAGCACAGAATCACCTGGACGTCTGACATAAAAATATGAGAGTGAAACAGGACGATAGAGTAAAAGGGAGAGAAAGTGTTTGGAATGCGATTTTTATTGTATTTATTGGATTCCAAGAAAGGTAACTTTGGTTATGGAAAATGTGTACAAAGGAAACGCTGAGTTTCTCTTTTCCAATTTGTTCTCTAGCATGCATGGGCTACGAAAATGATATTCCTATGGGGATCCTTATGCATTTCCTTGTAGTTATTTGATGGTACCAAAAACTGAATGTTCTCAACTTTAACGTCAAATAATGGCAACAAAATGTCAATAATTTCTCAACATTATTAATAAATGAATATTCATCTAAAGAGTGAATAGCAACTAAATAGAGCGGTTGTCAGTAGACAAATCCCCCTTTTATTCACAATGCAGTTGCGTGATGTCCACCACTTTCTGAACGAACAAAATGTTTGTTACTTCATAGCGTTTGAGAAGATTTCTGTGAATCGAAAATGCTTGCAAACGTGTGCTCGACTTCATAAAGTGAGAAAACCCAAACCAACTTCCCCTACTATGGACCAGGAACCAGCAGGAAACGCGAAGCGGACTTTCATGAGAACCTTATGTGGGCTCGAAAGTAGTCAACGGGCTTACCACGTGCACAAGCGCCCGTGTCAACTGTAAAAGTTTGAAATGTGGAGGACACAAAGTTCGAGCGAAAATGTGTACATACTTTCGTAAGGCCCGTCACGGAACTTCGTGCGCATTTTCATTTTACAGAACCTCTCCATTGTACTTGTAAGAAATCACTGGTTGGTTCAAGTCAGCGTATTCACTAGTCCTATGCAGAGGTTTGCCTTCAAATTACACAATATAAAAGGGCAGAACTAGAATTTAAAAATAAAACACCATGCCTCTTTTTATTAGATGCACGGGATCAGCCTTACCTTTTCGCCGGATTTGACGTCATTGCATGTCCTCCTAATTGGAGCTGCTGGCAAACTCGCGTAGATCACTACATTTGTTTACAACTCGCATGTTGAGACGGCAACATTAGTATGACATAACTGGGCAAAAGCGAATTTTCCTGGCTTGACTTTAGGTCACGTAATGGCCATCAAATTGTTTCAGATTTTCTTCACCTTTTTTCTAACTTGAATTTCCTCAAGCCTGTATGAACTGATGCAACCATGTTGTTGTTTTTTTGTTTTGTTTTTTTGTCATCAAGGAACAAGATTTGAATTTTACTGCGGTGGAAGCGGACATAGGCTCGCAATGATATCAAGCAAAGAGGACACATTCGCGCCATCCGAAGCCGCATGCAATGCAAACAATGGCTACCTGCCAAGGCACAATGATTTAAGGTACGGCTGCGCCCAGGCGCTGGTGGCCAAGGTCCGCCAACACTACAATCTCTCGTACACGCCAGTTGCGTGGATCGGCAATATCTACAAAGGGAACGCTTTCGCCACCAACGGATACACTTATCGGCCAACAACCACCAAGCTTTACCATATGTGCTATTACTGTCGTGAATTTCCTCACTGCTATGGCCGCTAGGCCTTACTGGGTGTCACCGGCCGTGGTGAGTTCCCTTCGGGAACGGACACGATAATAAACTTACTTTGGATGATCTACGTACATTGCCCAAAGCTTTTCCCATCTGTGTTCTGGTAGCGTTTTGTTTCATCCATATTTAACCGAGTTTAATATTAAACTCTCGTAGTTGGTGCCTCAGTGTGCATATTTAGCACTGCATGTTTTGTATAGGTTTTTGTCGATGCTTCCGCGACCAGAACAAATGGGGCATAGATGATACGTTTAGAGTATATAGAGCGGAAGCGTTGTTCCATTTGTTCTTAACCCGATTATGATCCTCATTCTCACCGCTTCCATTTTCCATGCTTTTCCCCGACGTTGCTTATGTTGTTATGCACTCATCTTCTTCGTACTATATTCCGCCTCTAGCTAGTCTTTGCTGTATACCTTTGCTGTTTGCAAGCGTTAGCGAAGCATCTGTTCTGTGGATCCCTGGAGTGCATGCATTCATGATCGTTGTTTCTGCAATGATGCTGCAGTCACGTGATGCCAGTGCTGGCCCCCTACGTTACATTGGCCCATTTGTAGTGGTGAAGGAGACATGAAACTTTCAAATATTACAACTATTGATGCGTTGTACTCTGTGACGTGTGTAAGATAGCTCTATTCGAATGAATATCGAGCACTCTATCGAGCAGGAGGACTCTCATTTGTTTGCATAGGCATGACACTTTTCAACTTACAACACATGATGCGTGGGGCTCTGTGTTTTGTATACGATTGTTATGTTCCAATGTATATTGAGCACTCTACTGAGTATAATGAAAATAGAGGAAATCACATGGGAACGAGTTATTAACAGCAGGGCCCAAAACAGGGCCCAAAACAAAACATAGTCGGCAATCACGGATAGATAGAATGACCCCAACTGCATTAGTTTTACAACGGTGTCATCTGTATTCGTTTGAGCAACGAGTTAATTTGAAACTATACGTTTTGGTCTATCGCTGCTTGTCATCAATTACTAGCCCCCTCCTTCAGTCACTGTTTCTACTGCGTTCAGTTGGCCCGCACACAAATGCTCGTACTCGTGGCCAGGATACAGCTGCCTTAGTATTACCTACTGTACATATTGGGTATGGACTGCGCTCAGTTTCTTTTCTGGCGGCAGGTCGGTGGAACACTCTTCCTCCAAACTGTCGTCAGGCACAATCTGCTGGTACTTTTGCTCACCTCACAAAGATTCACCTAGGGTTCCCTGTAACAAGGCCATGCCTGCTGGGACTCCCCTAGTCAAATAATAAATACTACTACTACTACTACTATCCGACAATCCAAAATATTGTTTTTACAATTTTCGTCATGTGACGTGGGTTGTCGTGTGCCTGTTTTCAACCATTACTTGAGTATGATTGGTGCTTCCACGGCAACACTTGGCACATGACGAACTTTGGCGGATCCTTTGCTCTCGTGTAGACGCTTGAAAACGGTACAAACGGAGACCACCTCGGATCGGCTTTGATCGTGTAAACGTACGAAAACGAAAAAAGAAATGCGGGGCTGAAAACGGTAAACTGGCCGGGCGTTGTCGTGTAAACGCAGCCTCAGTAACATGTCCGGTATGTGCCCTGTTATTGGAGATTCTGACTGATTATTATATCTCGTTACAGTCGTGGATAGATGCTTCATAACCTGTTTCCATGTGATATCTTCTATTTTAATTTTAATTGATTGGCTCACTATCCGAGTTAAACCCTCGTACTGAGTCGGAGGACTCAAATTTATCTGGACTAGTATAACTCCCATTTTAATATGTAAAAAAAATTGATTCGCAAGTGTAAGCTGGCTACAAGTTCAATTTTTATTTATTTATTTATTTCTGCACCTCGTAGCTTGTCAAGGCGGCCAATTGTCTTGAATTGAACAGTGGGTGAGACGAACCACGGAAGACGAGAAAAAAGGAAAAGAAAAGCGGTACATCTGCCAACGTCCTTCACAGCTGAGTCTTTCAGCTCGTGCTTATCTTGGTTGCGCTCACCTTCCCCTCCTTATGTTATTTCTATAACTTAGAACCTTCCAAGTTGGAAGGCTGTTGGAGTGCGCATCCAAGATGTGCTAGAGCTGTTAGCCAGTTAGTTGTAGAACGTCAGTACCGTCGGTCAGTTCCGTGCAATGTTATCGCATGAGCTGATTGTTTAGTAACCGGTGGTGTTAGTGGACAGTATAGCGAAACGTGTAGTTCCTTGGTCCTTCTCTTTGTATAAATTAAACCTTGGCTCTCCATCTGAGTCCATAAAAGCAGGTACACAAAAGGGGGAGAGATTGGCAGGTTACAAAGCAATGGCGTGCCCAGCGAGCTATGCAGCGGAAGTGGTGACTGTGATTTTGTTTACTGGAAGATACTGAAGTGCACATGGAAGCGAATGTGAAAGTAGAGTTAGAAAGGGATTTTGAAGGAGGAGGAAGGTAGAAAATTAACAGCGAGGACAATTCAGGAGCAAAATCAACAATGGCCTTTTCCAAGGACAATAATTATTAATTTGTGTAACAATGAGAAAAAGCAAAGCAAAAACAATTGTAAAATTATAGCAATAAAAACTGCTTCATGGCAGTTTTCTAAAAAAAGTTATTGTGTTCTAGTCCATGGACCACGTCTAAAAAGTAAGAAATTAACGAAATGTGATAGCCGAAAATTAAAATTTCACACAAAACCTCACAATAATCACAACACTTGAAATGCTGCTTTCGACACTAAACTTGTACTGCACCAACAATTGGCAACATGCATGTCATGCATGCATAGGAAAGAGGATCACGAGGGGAAAAGGTCTTCTACATGTAGCTTTTCATTCTGTGTGTGATTATTGTGAGGTTTTGTGTGAAATTTTAATTTTCGGCTATCACATTTCGTTAATTTCTTACTTTTTAGACGTGGTCCATGGACTAGAACACAATAACTTTTTTTAGAAAACTGCCATGAAGCAGTTTTTATTGCTATAATTTCTTTTGTTTTTTCTGTCACCAATCAATGGAATGCCCTATACTATATCAATATGTAAATTTAAACTAAACTTTTTTTAGAAATCTGCCATGAAGCAGTTTTTATTGCTATAATTTCTTTTGTTTTTTTCTGTCACCAATCAATGGAATGCCATGATTACAAACCTTCACATCATATCAAGACTCTTGTACAGATTATCGCCCATTTGTTCGTTCATGCTTAACCTTTCTAGGGGCTCCCGTAAGAAGACCATAGGTCTGTGGGAAACACCCTAGTAAAATAAATAAAATAATAATAATAATAATAATAATAGAGTACATAAACGGTTTATGTACTCTTGATCATATCAATACCGTATTATACGCCTTGATCTGCAAGCCTTTTCTTGCAGAAAATGGCATAGCATGTTCTTCTACGGGAAACATGTGAGTACGTAGTGGTGGACCGCCGTGATACTTTTTTTATACGGAGGTCATTCTGTGCATGTTGCTGTAGCAGAATTTCATGACTGTCTTAATCGTCTTGCCTTTCAGATATTTCAGATTTCCCCACCCTCGATCAGATTTATTTGAGAAATGTAACCAGGTGCGTGTCGCAGATGTTTTTTGTTGATTCTGTGTTTAAAATGGTTTGTAATCAAGGGTTTTCGTGATAAGGTCATCCTGCATCATATTGCACTGAAATCGTAATACTGTTGATGTCGATAGAACTTTTGGAAGTAGTTCAATGACTTCAAACTGTTAGTCCACGATATTCTAAAACAACACAGCAAAGGAGGAACAATAAACATGTATTAAAATGTAAACAAAATACATTGCTGAGTCCGACACCTCGTTCCAACAACTACACTGATCCTGAGGATAAAAGGGGCAAGGCTATGGTTGGAGGTACTGAGAGATAAACAAGGCACTCCATAATAATAAAATCTTACACATCTTTTGGTGAGTATGAATGATATCCAGTCGAACCTCTTTAGGACGAACACCAAGGGACCGATGGTATTAACTCTGTGAGTTTGTCTTAACCTATTTATAACCAGTGAATACAATTATTTCTCCAATAGACATACGAATAGATTTCTTCTACAGCGAAAGATTCTAAGCCACACCAACTCATTGACTCGTCTCGTATGAAACAAATGAGTCGTAGAGAGGTTCTGCAAAACGAAAATGCGTACAAACTTTCGTTCTACTTCATGAAGTGCGAAACTTCGCACGAACTTTCGCAACTTTGGACACGAAACTTGCAGGGAACGCGAAATTAACTGTCGTAGGAAAATTCGTGAGATCGGGTCATGGCGTACGTGCACTTGGCCCGCGCAAACTACCAAATGTGCAGAACGCAAAATTCGTACACACTTTCGCAAGGACTGTCGCGAAACTTCGTTCGAATTTTCGTTTTGCAGAACCTCTCTACTGAACCTTTCTTCAGAAACATGACGGCAACTGAAACAGCAACAGAGAAAGTACGATACATGTGCAGCACATTCTTGCAGGTACATGTACTACAAACAGATTGCAGATCGTAATTCTTGCTTTGGCGGCACGAAACTTTATTTGGGGCAGTGCAATCTCGGCGGTACTCACAAATAATAAATCAAACAGCCCAGACTCGAGTAAACAAATCCAATCATACAAGTACGAGATCTTCACGAGACGAGACTGCACCCATTGGCTTGTTTCGTATGAAGCAAACAAGTTTACTGAACCTATCCAGAATGGAGATTTTCCCTGATATGCGAATTTATTTTGCAAATTCGGTCAATGGGTCCTTGAACCTTTCCCTCCAGATTGGGAACTGCCAACGATAGTATGCCACTGACCAGTGCCTTACTTGTAACGTACCAATGTACAATGAATATGAGTATTTCGACAACACATCTAACATACCGGTAAGCCTTACCGTCAAGAAGGTGAACTCGCGTTCTTCGTACACTGTAGACAAGGGCAAAGAGATAAAAATGGATCTAAATCCGAATAAAATCAGCACACGTTTCCGTAAATGAAAGGGTGAGCATAAGCAAATGAATCGAAGGAAACCGGTCAACTCAGAGATCACCTGTCATTGAATATTCCGTAAAAGGAGGCCTCGACAGCAGAAAAGCTCACCTGTCATCGAGTATTCCGTAAAAGGAGGCCTCGGCAGCGGAAAAGCTAAATAATTTAGAAAAGAGATCCTGTCAGCTTTTCCATTATTTATTGCATTCCGCCCAAAATCAGCACACTTTTCGTAAATGAAAGAGTGAACACAAGCAAATGAATCAAAGGGAACTGGTCAACTCACCTGTCAGTAATATTCCGCGAAAGGAGGTCTCAGCAGCACCGAAACGAAATAAGCCAGGCCAGGAGTCGAAATATCCGAAACAGCTCATACAAGAAGCAGTTCCAAAGAAGGAAGTTAGTTCCTTGCGCATGTACATCCGACCGAACACGGACTGCACTGCAACACAATGTCTGCCGTGCACGTGCACAGCACGCGGCTACCACCCGCTGGTAGATCTAATACCGAGCACCTTACGTAGAGACTTACGTAGCCTAAGTGAAATACCGAGCACCTTACGTAGAAAGTTACGTAGCATAGCGGTGTCGTTTTTCTTGCCATGTGAACACAATAGGGAGGTTCTGCTATACGTGAAACGTAGAGAAATCACGTAGAGAGCAGGTGTCTGGGTTAGAGTCTACGGCTTCGCGTGTTTTGGCTCCAGATTTCTACGCGGAGATGGGGTTCTCTACGTTGTGGCACACGCAGAGAAAATGCGTACGGATTTGCTGGGTATCGATCAACTGCATGCAGAAAACTGCCAAATATGGAAGGGGAAATTCCCAGTACACATTCCACGTGACTTCTCTAGGTGAAACGTAGAGCAGAACAGCATTTCTTTACGTTACGGGAACGCGAAGAAAGTTCGCGTGATTCTTTGCGTCGCGTTCCCAAAACGTAGAGCAGAACCTCCCTAGTAATAGAAAAGCTGACAGGATCGCTTTTCTAAATTAAGGTGAAGTATGCGCTCTTTGGTGTGGCCTTGGTACCATCCCGCAGAGCCTGGCGGTGCGGCACTCAACGTACCGCCTCCCGTACTCGCACAAGCTGCAATGCATCCAGAGCCCTCCACAGCTAAATGCTATGGTCCCACCAAGAGTATAATTATAACCCCCCCCCCCCTATGGGGCTATACTGTAAAACCGGAAAGTCTAATGACCAAAAAGTTTAACGTTTTAGTAACTTTGGCATGATAGCTTTCAAAAAGTTTAACGATGGCTAGCTGGCCACCCATCTGCATGATTGTGCATCTTTATACAGATATCTTGCGATGACGGTTTTTCAAATAACGAAAATAATTGATCGTTAAAACGTTAGACTTTCCGGTTTTACAGTATGTAATTATTATACGTGGTTTTCGTGCAGGAAGGTCAACAGCTGATGTGGTCTGGTGCCATCGGTGGTTAGCAGCTACGACCCAGCGGTACCACTGGTCATTCAGCATACTGGGCATCGACATGTCACGTGCCTTTGACACGATCAGGCGAGGACAGTTGATGGACGTGGTTCAGCGATTCTTGGAAGAAGACGAGGTACGCTTGATCCGTTACCTGATCTCAGATACGAATTTGGCAGTCAGACTGGGCACGGAAACATCAAGCTCTTTCTCCACTAACATTGGTACCCCGCAAGGCGACTCCTTGTCGCCAATTCTATTCGTGATCTACCTGGAAGCTGCCCTGCAGGATGTGCGACAGCGAATGGCTGCACCTGTGGCCCGGCATCTTCCGTACGATGTGGAGTACGCCGATGATGTGGACTTCATCAGTATCTCTAGTGATTGGCTTCGGATGTTAGAGCCACAAGTTGCCACCATCTTGGGTACATGGTCCCTTACCGTCAACCAGACCAAGACAGAATTCACAGCCATCCAGCGAGAGGCCGATCGCGCTGATGAGCCATGGCGTATGGTCAAGAAACTCGGCTCTCTCCTTGGTGATGCAGAGGATGTCACCCGCAGAAAGCAGCTTGCGGTGATAGCGTTTAAGTCCCTCTGCCAGTTATGGAAGAGAAGAGACCAAGTGAGTCTGAAGGTGCGCGTCCGGCTGTATAACTGCTTCGTGTTACCTGTCTTGCTTTACAACTGCTCCACATGGGGCATCACTCGACAGACAATTGAAGCGCTGGAATGGTATCATCGGCGGCAACTTCGGCATATCTTGGGTATCAGGTGGCCCAACCGACTGTCGAACGATTTGGTTTACGAGCGCTGCAGTGCTGCTCCACTTGGCAACATTCTGGTGAATGCAAGATGGCGGTTGTTTGGCCACATCCTGCGATGAGCACACACCGGCTAGGGAGGCCATAAGTGGATTCTTTGGCTGCTCCGTGCCGGGATACCGTGGGCGGCCGCGGATCACGCTACCAGTCCTGCTGAATCAAGACGCGGAGCGAGTCGGCTGCCGTCTGAGGACTCCAAGGGACTTGCAGCTGATGGCTCAGCGAGCACTGGATCGCCGTGAATGGACATATCTGTGCAACGCAGTTACAGATGCGTACAAGGCAGAGTACTGGTGAAGGAGGTTGGCACTGCAATGGTTTGAGCTACATTCTTTGTTGTTGGTACTCTGATTATCCGTATTATCCGTATTCACATGGCCTTTGCCATTCATTCAGTATATTAATGTCATCAATAATGATATTCTTGTTTGTATTAGTTTATGTGACACCATTTTCTATTTTTCTTTGCCTGCCTGCCTGCTGGCGGCCTTTTTTCGCATGGTTCGGTGCAAGCGAATTTGGGCGAGCCCATTGACGCGGGAGCACAAATAATAATAATAATAATTATTATTATACCCTTGGAACGAGGTGACCTGGCCTTTTTTTAACATGGTTGTAAAATGGTAGACTACTCATAATGCCGACATACATGTAAGTTCACTTCCAGTGTTCTGTTCGGTCACGTGACAACTTACACATGACGTCTTTTGCGAGAATATTTTTCCCCACAAACGGGCCACTATGCTCTGCAAACCTGGTCCGAAATTTGCCAGTACAGTGCAGTGATGTGCCTTGCACGTGAACCCCTCCCCCCCCCCCCCCCACCACCACCAGTCCTTTTCAGACCAAGTACATGTAGCAGCGATGTGTACATCTGTTAACAAGAAAGTCGGAGCCTTTGTGCCTGCAAAACAGAATATCAGTATCTTTAGCAAGCAACTGTTCTACCTCTCTATAATTCAGTCTACTCTTGAGTATGGCAGCACCGCATATGTACACTGTTTGTCACAAGCTCTTTATAACAAACATATTGCTGCCCGCCGCTTAGCGCTAAAGAGCATCTTTACTTGGATAGAATGACCCCAACTGCCCTTCTCTACAGTAACACCAATGTATGCACCCTTGAACAACGCCTCAATTTCAAGACCTATGTATTTGTGTATCGCTGCCTGAATGGCCTTGCTTGCTCTCTCCTACAAGACCGTTTTACTCTTCGTGCTCACGGTGCTAACACTGCTGCCATTACCAGGTCAGGTGTCTGCCGCGCTTTTTTTACCCCCTGCTAGTACACGCTATGGTTTCAGTGCAATTTCTTACGTAGGCGCTGACCGGTGGAATGCACTGCCACCTGCTTACCGCCTTTCTAATTCACCTGCTGAATTTCGATCATCCATCAAGACCAGGGAGTCGTAAAATACCGGGAGGCGACACGAGATGCACAACCGCGTCGGATGATTGCCTCAGCTCGGGCACGAGTGCTGAGACCTCACGCGCTGCATGGCGAGGGACTTCCCATGAGGTCAAAGCGGCGCAGGTCATGCAAAAGGACGCGTTCGCTGTTTGGTCCATAAAATTTGAAAACTCAATAAAATTATCCTGCACACAACGAATCCAGTGTCAGCAGTTCGTTTTGTTTTTCTAAGTAATAATACTTTGTGCCTTGGCCTTCGAAGTACAGGATGATGGAGCTTGACAGAGATGACTGCCAAAGTGATGAGTCCGCCGTGGAAGATGTAGATGACGCCACGTATTCACTTGGTGACCTGAGTTGTGGGGATGTTCAGCTGTGGGCTACAGGTGAGATTCTTTCGTTTGCATGTTTTTGTCTCTTCCTTGTGGACACGAATGTATAATCTGTAGCATACCTAAGTGCCCGAACTGACCCGATAAATTAGGTGGTCGACACCATCCTTTTCATCCTAGTCTGCCCACGATGCATTGTCTGTTCTCTGTGACAGGATATTTATTGAAGTCCTGAAAATTTACAAGTGTACCTAGTATGTATCATCACCGTAGATGATGTAAACCTCCATCCTCAAACCATACTTTGTCTATGTGCAGATCGATGTAAGAGTGGTAGTGCCATCATGGTGTACAGGCCTATGGAAGGTGCAGTGATCCATGGAATTTGCAAACTGCTGACAATGAGACAGGCGAGTGTTACTGAGGCGACGGAGTCATTCCTGCATGTTATTATGACACGGTTACAAAGGCATCAGGTACTGCAAATCTGCTACGCCAGGAAGTGTGCCAGCTGAAGGCATGCAAGGGTGCTGATATTTCGCAAGCATGGCAACAAATGCTGTCCGTCATCGCAACAGCTATTCCCGAAGTGAAAATCAATTGTGAAGGTCAGTGCGTTTTGCATGCATGTTGGAAAAAAATTGGCTTCTGACTAGGTATGCAGACTAGGTATGCAAACGCTGGCTTTTGAATACTAGTACAGTCTCTGCAACCACCAGTCCTTATATGTTGTCTTTTTCTTTTCTCTTCTTCAGATTTGGAAGTTACATCTGCAGTGCTAGCGAATCTGATAAGCTGCCTGCATGCCACGGCTGCCGCTGCTATCAGGAAAGCGTCAATAGCACCATCCAAAGCTGCTGAAGCCATCCCCGAACCGGTGATTGACAATTTGTCTCACCTTGCTGAAAAGTACCATGGTGGTTGGTGCTTGGTGGCCGTGCGGCGTGAGCTGGAAGGAGCAAGGTGTCGCAACGACAACTTGCTGCAGCTTATACCTTTATTTGGCAAGGATGCCGTGTCAAGCCTTCAGCCTTGTTTGGAGAATTCAGGTGGCCCGGCGTTCCTCGGAAGCTCTGTATAAGACACCATACGTCACAGATAAAAACAACTGAACCAGTGATATGTGAATTTTGCGCTTGTGTGTGTGTGTGTGTGTGTGTGTGTGTGTGTGTGTGTGTGCTTCTGTGATAAGTGGTATAAGCAGTCCACAGGGTATTCACCTTGAGTGCATTCGCCGATAGTGTGACTTTCGTTGCACAGAACCTTCTTCAGTTGGTCAAGTGACTCGGCGTGGCTCGGAAGCTCTGTATAAGACAAAATACGACACAGATAAAAACAACTGAACCAGTGATATGTGAATTTTGCGCTTGTGTGTGCACGAGCATGCATGTGTGTGTGTGTGTGTGTGTGTGTGTGTGTGTGTGTGTGTGTGTGTGTGTGTGTGTGTGTGTGTGTGTGTGTATGTGTGCTTCAGCCTTGCAAGCTGTTGAATGGTGTAATCCCAGCACAAGTTGCTATGTCTAACATAGCTGTTCGCTATCATCGCTCCCGCGATGGGCATGTCTGAGGTCTGAGGTCTGAGGTATGTGTGCTTGTGTGTATGCTACTGTGATAAGCGGTACGAGCAGTATACAGGATATTGACGGGTATTCACCTTGAGTGCATTCGCCGATAGTGTGACTTTCGTCGCAGAGAACTTTGCTCAGTCGGTGAGGCGACTCGGCCTTACGTTTCCTGAAGGCAATGTGTTCAGAACAGTTATGAACAGCTATGAACAGTTAAGAAATGACAAATATTGTTTGCAGTTCATGGGCCATATAGATATGAAACACTTTGAATGCAGAAGAATGAGGATAGTGGCATCAAATACTGCATGGATTCTGTTTGATATGCTACTTTTTTTTCCTTTCCATGGAAAGGTGAGTACATCGTCGAACTTCATCTCGAAACTTCACACAAACCTAGAATGGAACTTGGACAACATGAAGGGGCCATGGGCATGGTGTGTTTAGTGGAGAACTATTCCGAAAACAGGGTGTCATTCGCATTGACTCAATTCAAATTTGAGTACATTTCGTGAATAACTTACCTTGACATTCCGTCGTCTCCAAAGCAGTGAACTTCCAAAAAAAATTAAAAGCCACGGCTCAACCTAAGGTAATGCGTGGTACGTATCAGAAACAACCAGCTTTCGCTCTGGAGATCCAGAATAGCCTCGAAGCATATAGCAAAAACAATTGAGAAAAAGAAGATGACGACGACGTTTCAATCACGCTTCAAATTTCGCGGGTCGAGTGCGGCAATCCTCGGATCGTGAAATGTGTGGCGTGTCGCCTCCCGGTATTTTACGACTCCCTGATCAAGACGTTCTTAGAGTTCCCAGAAAGAAGGCGATGACGCCTGTTGGGAATTCCTTAGTAAGGCGAGACCAAAAAAAAATAGAGATTCCCGGGCCCTCCCGCACCAAAATTGAGCCAAAGCCATTTTTTTTTTTTTGAACAGTTCATACATGTACAGTACTGATCGTGTGAGTAGATCTGTGACGTGGAGTCACACAAACCCGAGCTTGTACGACTCCCAGATGTACAGATATGATCAGGGCCATCGTTGGCCGAATTATAGAAAATTGAACGGGTAAACCGCGTACCTGTTTTCTGTAAAAAAACTGAATAAAAATTACCGGAAAATGCTGTAAAAAAAGTTCAACATGGCATGCACACATATAATTTTTTATTTTTTTAATTTTTTCCCATGTATGTACATGACTATACTATAGTCATGTACATGTACATACATGGGAAAAAATAAAAAATATAAAATTCGCCCTCCCGCACCAATTTCAGGGCTCACAGTCCAATACAAAAGCGTGGAGTCGCGCACGGCTTTGCGCGGATGTCACGTGATGACAACTGACCAATCACAGGCCTCTATTCTCCTCTATTCTCAAATCTTTGATCTTGTCCACTACATCGGCCCTGATGTCCACGAAGCTGGGATTCGCTGTGCTGATTCAAAACCCCCAAACTCAGTGATCTACCGCAGCGTTTCACCATTTTCCCTCCAGTTTTCCGGCACGGATTAGCCAAAGTCTGGTCGTTTTGGCTTCGATTTCGGCACAGCAAACGGAAAAGTGATCGGTAAATGTCTGGAGAATTCCACGCTGAAAAAAATAAGCCATAGATGATCAAAATCCGCCAAGAATGAGATGTAGTGGACATTTTTGAGTGAGTGCCACTCAGCGCGCAGAACGCCAAAAGTGCAAAAGCAGCACCAGATCAAACAACAAGAAAAACGCATGCATGCAGCGGAACAGCAACGCGCGCCGTCCAACAGAAAATCATTGCGCACAGATTTTTCAGTGTTCTCTCCTCAGTTCGCCCGCGGAGTTGGTTGCTGTGCTTTCGTTCTCGCTGGAGTTCTTGTGGCAGCGCATTTCGCCATCATGGAGGAACTGGTACCTCTGGAAACCTGGCCTTTAGTGGCCCTCAACTAACGCCTGGCGGATTTGCTGGTCCCGTTCGCCTCCATCCGATCAGCAGCTCCGTGTTGTATGTTCTCGGCGTTACCTGCCTGGCGAGCTCTGACTCGTTTGTTTGTCTTCTTACCTGTGGAATATCGCGATCGCTCATTGTAGCATCAGCATTTGGTCGAACAGCGGCTACATGACATGAATTTCCTGGGACTAGCACAGGTTGCCTTTCGCCTTCTCCTTCGGTGGACCAATTCTACAAGGCACAGTGAAAGGCAAGTCGTTGCCGAGGGCTGGCAGTAACTGTTCAGTGTTGCAGTGCAATTCCCAGTGAAAATAATAAAGCAAACTATTTCCACTGGAGTATGCACGATCGTAAAAGCACAAGATCGAGACGAACGGAAACGAGAATGGTTTGACACTGCATGCCAAGAGAAGCGAGGAAAGGACAGGTCCGACCAAAATATCGCGAACATCGGCTCTATAGATCTACAAGACAAGAACAGGCTACTCAAGCCCAGGTTCTTTCTCTTTACTTCTTTGTTCTGTTGGGATGCGTAGGATGTACACGATCTGTGCTCTCGTGGGGTCACGCGACTCACGTGCACCAAACCCGCCCTCGCACGACGCTTTTGTCGATCCTGCATACCGACTGTGAGCCCTGAATTTAAAATTGAAAAGTCTCTCGGACAAATTCTTCTAATTTTCCTACTGAAAATTTTAAGCTATTGGCCATCAAAATCGGGCAAGAGACGGGTACAAACGAACATTTCGAAGGCGACGCTATCTGCAGTACAGGTGCGAGGAAGAACCGCGCGCGCTGGACCGGTTGTGAATGCGGAAACAACACTACAGCAAGGCAAATTTTCGAAATGTTTTGCTACTCGCCTGGCGCTTCATCGCTGTGTCCTTCAGGAGTTATGGCCGACTGAAGAAATACATGGCCAGCACAACGGCGAAGCCACTGGACGTGTTCTCTTGCAACGAAACGGAGTGGCGGATCAAATAATTCACAACTCCACATCGTCACTACTGCGTTCCGCGGCTCTTCGCAGCGGACCAGGCGTATATTTACATTGGACACAACAGGACTTCACGGCGGAGAAACTAAAACTAGAACTAGAACACTAGAAAACTAGAACACTACGTGAGTCATTGCTCCATGCCTTCAACATCCTCTCCCGATCCTCTCCCGATTCCGTCACCCGCGCCTCTGCATTAGCGGCGTAGCTGCCGGGCAGTAGATGTTGAACTCTTTCGTGTTCAACGAATGCAGGAATCTGCTCGGGGCTACTCCTCGCAGGACTCCGTGTGTGGACAGTCTGAAGGAAGAATTCGGCCGATGAGGCCAACAATGCTCGCGAAATAGTCCACTCGGAAGGAAACAATAACAACCGAAACAAATGGAGAACTGTCTCCGTCTCCTTCACCATCCACGGCTCAGTTCTTGTCACAGCAACTCAGCCCAAGCAAGTCAAAATCTCCTTGCGATTGTGAGTGCTACGCCTGCGCTTAGCAGTCACGCGTGCCCGTTTCTATGGTGATCAGATCCAATATGTCCTCCACGTAATCGAGGTTTTGGCATACGGCTGTGAGCCTGAATTTCACATGGGTCCTGCCCGGGAATCTCGATTTTATTTTGGTT